GTTTTTCTCTACGGTTGCACGAAAACACACTGTGAAATTCGTAATAGAAAAGAGAGACGAACCGCTGAGAGACAGTGATTTGAGATGAATCAAAGCAGACGCTACACAATGTCGAATGTTCCGAGTAATGCTCCTTCTTCGAAGCTGCAGATCGTCAGTTCGTTACAATCCACAACTGTTCCTGTACTTTTTAAAGCTTCTGTATCTTTTATCGAAGAAAGGCAAATATCATCATTCTCGTCCTTCAGTTTTAAGTTGATAAGAATGGTGGGGGGAAAATATTCTGCATGTTAGTTATTTGCTATTTATTTCTTCTACATGTGTGATCAATAATATTATCTGACTTATCCTGTATACGTACGTACACAGGACTGGTAGTAAAATTATTTAGAATGCGCATGCTACTAGAACTTCTAAAGCTAGTTGTAAGTTGGCTGTCTGAAAAACGATCCTTTGTAATCTTTGGAGACGTAAGGTCAGGAGTATCTCGCATCGGACTAGCACAAGGTAGTGCTTTAAGTCCGCTCATTTTTATTATATTTCATGCTGTTCTAGTTAAATGCGCTGGCGCCTTTTCATGTCATTTATTTGCCGACGATCCAAACGTCCTTATAGTTTCTCCCGTCACGAAGAATCTATGTACTATGATTGATTGCCTGAGTGAGGAAGGAACTAAGGTATGTAACCGGCTATTAGTAGTACAACGGACTTATCTGGATATACTGTCGACCCATTAGGAAATCTCTATGTAGAAGATTATAATCGACAAATAATTGATAAGTACACAAGTAAGTGAGATAAAATGTCACTAACTGCGTTATTCTCCGTTCCTGTTTTTGTTTTAATGATACCATGCTGCGATCCTTCTCAGACTAAATGTGTGTTTTCTTTTTTTAATTTTTTTTTGCTTAACAAAAGAGGATCTTTCGTGTATTGTTTTAGCACAATTTTTCTGTCGCTCAAAGACCTCTTGTCCAAAAGGACCATGATATCAGACACCGCTCAATTGTACAACGGTATTACTGATCCTCGCAAAATCGCTTTTACTTCCGCAGGCTCTTTACTTGTTCAATCCCATTTATATCACACCTGAAGTAGATTTAACTGTAGGAAATACCATACATAGTTGTACCATATAGAAGTGCTCAGTTTAACCAATGCTATCAGATAAATATTTATTTATCATTAAAACTTAGTCTGTATATTATTGAAACAACCTTTGAGACTTGAGAATTAGATGGGAATGGTGTCGAAGGAGAACAGAGCTCTTTGGAGAGTGTGAACGCTTTCCCATGAAAAAACATGTGTCTGTTACTCTTTCTCTTTCTTCGTACAACCGTCATCCTGTTGCTCTCTAGCTGTTCTAAAAAGTATTTATTCAGGGAAAACAAAACTCTTCGGAGCATGCATTCAAATTACTTTTGTTTTAGACTAAAAAACCTAAAACTTCAGGCACTAGGCATAGCTTAGATAAAAACCTGACGGTTGTACGAAGAAGGAGAAAGAGTAACAGACACGTGTTTATCCACAGAAAAGCGTTCACACTCTCCAAAGAGCTCTATTCTCCTTCAATACTATTCCCATCTAATTCTCAAGTCTTAAAGGCTGTTTCAATAATAGAGCAAACAATTCTGTCGGATCAAAATTCGGATGAAAAAAGAGTAGAAATGACATGGACGTTGTTTGAATAAACGGTTGATTAAATAATAAAATGCTATTGGTTGTATTTTATTTTAATATCAAAATATGCTTTTAAAAAATGACGACGAATGTTGAATATATAAAAAAATGGAGTTTCGAAAATTTATACACGTTTCAACTTTCTTCTTCAGTAAATGCTCGTTTGTAGAATGATTTAAATAGGCGTTAGAAGACGTCACAACAAGCGAAAATCACCAGAGAGCTGCTCTAGATCCAATACTCGATATTTGAGAAGGTACAAACATTCTTGATGATTTCAATCATCACTAGCAGAGCGTTAAAAAACTCGGTTCCAATTAGGCATGTATCGGTTTTGACTGAAACACGAAAATAATCGAAAGTTTCTCACTCTAAATACTCAACAAAATTTTTCTTGTGATAGTACAAAAATAGTATAGGGGTTCAGGTTACCTCGAAAAGTGTAGAATTAAGTTCACATGCAAACGTCTCATTGTCTTCAGAAATGTTTACTCTACAGAATGGACCTTTTGCTACGAATTGTTAGATTGAACTCTGGAAGTTGGTTTTCTGGGGTTTTGGTTTTCCAGAGACCCTGGTTTAAAGAGCTATGATAGAACCATTTTAAACAGCACAGCAAATTCCAAATTTTATCAGCTGTTCAAATTTTCTTCGAATTTGTTCTAGCTTGTGCGGTCCACAAGAAAAATCAAAAGTAAAAGTGACGAGCAATTTTTGGAGCCATTCTACGTTAAAGCGGCGTAGTATTTAATACCCAAACACAGCTGTCAGGCTTCGTTAAGTTTCCAATTAACATATCTTGCAGAGCTTTCAAGGCGCATGGAATGATGTATGAATGTCTAGAGATCCTCTTTAGTTTTAGAGAAGAAAGTGAAAAGAAGTTCGCTTAGCACAGCCTTGACCTATCGAAAAGTCTAGTAATAAATTCATAAAACCTGCTGCGAGACTTCGTTAAGCGTGCTATTAATACATATTGTAGAGCTTTTCCAGACGCCCGGAATGATATATGAATTATTAGAGATCAAGTTTAGCTCACAGAGAAAAGTGACCGACGGTTCGAGAAGCATAGCGGCGACCTATACAAAAATCTAGTATTTGGTTCATAACGGCCGCTGCTAAGCTTTGTTAAGTTTCCATCAACACATATTGTAGAGCTTTTCATGCCGCATCGAATGATGTATGAATGATTAGAGATCCTCTTTAGTTTCATAGAGAAAAGTGACATGCCGTGGTATAGTCACGACCGATGGAAAAGTCTAGTATTAAATTTAAAAAACATGCTGCCCTACCTCGTTAAGCTTCTAATTAACAGATACCGTAGAGCTTTTTAAGACGCATCGAATGGTGTATAATGATTAGAGATCATCTTTAGTTTCATAGAGAAAAGTAACCGACAGTTCGAGTAGCATAGCGGCGACCTATGAAAAAATTTAGTATTCGATTCATAAAACCTGCTGCTGTGATTAAATTCCCGAATTTGTATTATCCCTCTAATCTGACCGAGTTCAGTTATAGCGTCATGTTTCTCCTATTTTCGCTTGGCTCCATTCAATTGCTATATCTACTCATTTCTCATGTTAAGAACAAATTGGTGTCATCATTCTTCGTCGACGGTAAGCGAACGTTTTAGAGATGTTGAAGTTGTATGCTCAATCGACATTTATTTCGTAGACGTGAGCTGTTTTTTCATTATCTCACTCGAACAATCGACCGAGCTTGAGATTGGAGAAAGAAAGGAATTAAAGTGGAATAGAATGATGCATAGTCCCCTGACTGAGCGATACCAAATCGAACTTATTAGCTATTCAATAGCTGTTGGTTGATTTTGCAAAACTTGAATGAAAAATTTTGGTGAGCTCCTATTCTTGTTATAAAATACTGATAACAATTAAACGCTGCTATCAAAACCTCACCTCGTCGAGAGGTAAACATTTTTTGATGAAAATTGATTCTCGTTGTAACTATAGAAATAGATGCTATTAATAGTCTTTTTCAACGGTAAAAGGCACTTTCGTCATAGGTGGGGGGGGGGGGGGGGGGGGGGTGTTATTAGTAATAAATAAAAAATAATTAAAAATATTTTTATATATTTATTATTAAATATTATTATATATTATATATTTTAATAAATAAATTAATATAAATTAATGATGAAGAGGATCAGATGGCA